CAGAGGGACGGCTCCGACGGAAATAGACTAATCAAAACGCTTTATGCCTCTAGACCAAGTTTTAAAAAATATGGGGGGGTACATACAGGTATAGGCATGCCCCCCTCATGCCCCCCTGGGATAACCCATAATTTGATATTTTGCAGGTAAGTTTGAAAATGTTTCGAAAATAATTGATTTGCTACAGTTTTAGTGGCTATTTTATGTGAGATCTGCAGCAAACAATACGCAGTTTCACCCCCCCCCCCTTTCCCCCAAAGCAGTGCATCTGTGTGCGGGAGTGCGTCTCCGAATAGTTCTTGGGTGTTCGCCAGAGACGTCTCCGAATATCTTCTGCCGGAGGTCCATGATCGCCCACGCCGGTCGGCAAGGCACCGGATGATGAAGAAGGACTACGGGCTTTCTAAAATAACCTCCCTGCACCTCACACACATACAGACACAGTTCCTGACCTCTCACTTACAAAATGCTGTGTGCTGTATCTCAAGCAACCCCCCCCCCCCTTTCCACCAACACAACCCGTAACAATAATAATAAATACACACGCACACATCACGCACGTATGCACACACATGCACAGGCACACATGTACGCACGCGCTCAATCAATTTGGAATGCATCACACACTTCCTCCTTCTTTTTTGTTTTGTGTTGTTGTTGTTTTCATTCTTGTAACACCTCTAATCTTCGGCTCTTATATTACTTTATTGTGTTTCAAGTGCCATAAAATTATTATAAAAACTAAAATCTCTTTCAATGCGTCCAGTTCCTTGTCTTGTTTTATTTCATTCACCAATTTTGAACTTTTAAACCTCAAAATAATCAAAATACGGTAGTTGAGGATTCATCCCTTCATTGAACAAGGAGAGCATTAATAATCTTGTATTACTATTGTGTTTGCGTCATCCGAAAAAAATATGTAAGTCGATCTTAATACAATATTATGTAACAATAGATAGCATTTGTACAGCGCAAATCCCCGCTCTACAGCAAGCTCTATGCGCTTTACAATCTATACTATTACCTCAGCAGACCTGAGAGCATTCTAGAACAACCTCAACTTCCTGGGAAGCATACAGTTCAAGAAGCAATTTATAGGTGCTTAAAACACTAATATACTGATAAGATATTTTGCTGTCCATGGCCGGGTACCCATTCCTACCATGGTGAAGAGAGGAACATTCGTGTAAAGTGCTTTTTCCAAGGACCCAACGTCAGGCCCGCTGCTCGAACCCCCGAACCTGCAACCTCACGATTACTTTCGATTCCGGTACCACTAGGCCACCGACGTCACATTATTATTATTATTATTATTATTAT